TAGATCATCAAAACCTCGGGTGCATTACATCGGGGACCAGCTGCGATAACGCGCCTGTCAACAAATCCTCCATATCCAATCGCAATTTCGATTTCGTATCCGCATGGCACCGACGACTGGACGCCTTCCACCCATGCGCTTGTTGATGGAGGATTCGGCGACTCCACCACTTTAGCAAGCACATCCCATCTCAGAAATACCGCACTTTCTCCTGAACTTGCATGGTCCCATCCGAGCGTCGCCAGCAGTAGCCACAAGTCATTGCAGCAAGCTCATCGAAAAGTTTCATGAACAGTAAATGACAAACGATTTCCTCTATTTTTAAAAGGATTGGCTGGCGTCCGTGCAAATTTTTGTGCGTTTTTGCATATAGGCAAATGCGAAAACGCATACTGTGACGACCCCCGGTGTGTGTGTGTGTGTGTCTGTGTGTGCGCGTTTGTCCGGGTATTTCAACTCGGCACCCAAGCAAGCTCCGGCGCAAAAATTTAGCGATTGGGTTCCCCAAGTACTAAATTGGGCAGGTACTACCCTAGGTACCGCGGTCCTAGGGTAGTACTTGGCCGATTTAGCGATTGGCCAGGTACTACCCTAGGACCGCGGCACCAATTCTCACGCACATCTAGGCCCGCGTTCGAGCGCCTCAAAGTTTTGGCGGGAAAATCGCTAACTTGGGAACCAGGAAAGCTAGAAAGCTGGAATTTTTGGATTATGTTCCCCATCCATATAAAACTCCAGCCCCAGTTGTGCGCATTTCCCGCGTATGGTCCCGTGAGGGATCCTGACGCGAAAATCGCTAGCTCGGGAACCAAGAAAGCTGGGGGGCTGGAACTTTCGGCGAATGTTCCCAGTTCATCTACAACTTAAATTTATCAAATCCAGCCCCCCCCCCGCTATGCGTGGTTATCATGTACGGCCCCGTGAAAATTTTTCGCGGGAAAATGGATAACTCCGGAACCAGGAAAGCTGCGAGGCTGAAACTTTCGGGAAATGTTCCCAACTCATCTACAACTTAAATTTGTCAAATCCAGCCCCCGGTCATGCGTGGTTGTCACGTACGGCCCCGTGAAATTTTCTGGCTGGGATTTGGTTAACTCGGGAACTGAGAAAGCTGGAATCTGGGATTTCAAGGGAATGTTCTTTGTCCAAATACAGCATGGACAATTAACTTCCCGAAATTCGAGAACCAGTATGTCAGAAGTTTCTAGCTAGCAAAATTTCGAGTGATCTTATTACACCACGAAACTCTGCAAAAACGCATGATCGCACGGGCCCGCCCAGCGCGCGTCACCGATGATTTATTCAAATTTTGGCTGTTTCTTATTCTAATGAGCTTACAGGTATTTTTTTTTTGATTGAGAGTGGTTGTGCAGGCACTTTAGTCTTGCTGAGATCCACATGCAATCTGCAAAAGGATCTAAAAGTCGGTAGTCTCCTGGGAAATGGCGAACTTTCTTGCTTCTTCCACGGTTTCTGAGGTTTCTTAAATTCAGTTCTTTGCGTTTGACCCACGCGTACTATTCCGTTCCTTTTAATGACTTTTACTTGAGAAATTAATGGCAAAGTCATCGGCTAGCTATGCTATTATCTTATCTCTCTTATCCACGCAAGCGCAGCAAAAAACTTATGGATTCGACAAAAGCAGCAACCAGCTTAGTTAAAGTTTTTAAGCAGCAGTTTAGGGCCAATACTAAAGCACGGCTCGGCTAGCCTCGGCTCCATCTCGGCTAACCTCGGCCGGCCTCGTCTCGCCGCGGCAGCTGTACGATGCGAATTTACTGGCAAATGTGTAGTGGGGGAGTAGGAGGGG